ATCAAACTATTATCTCTAAAAAATTGTAGCATCATATATTTCTCTGAATCAATTCCACCAACAACCATTAAAAAGCTTCAATTATTGACACACTCATCAACATTATCTTTGAAATTGCAGGTGGAGGGGTCTGCCATTGACATACCATTAAAAAGTTTCGAACCTTTGAATTAGATATTCAGATTTTACGAATTTGTGATTTTTTTGGATTGGGTGTCCTTGAAAACGATTGAAAATATCCTTTAGAGTTTATATCTCAATTTTAAGGGAGATTCGTTAAGTTTAAAGTTGGTTTTAGGTTGAATTTCTGATTGAAACTCGAGGAAGAAGAAGTTTCGGAATTGTATTACGATTGTATGATAAATGTATCATAACTGTATCTGAGTTGTATTTGATACATCAATACCTAAGACAATTCTGATACAACACTAATACTATTAAAATATTGTATCATAATTTAAGTTTAGAGTTGGTTCTAGGTGGATGTTTTAAATTGAAACTTGAAAAAGATGAAGATCAAAGTTGTATCATAATCTAGAATTGTATCACAATTTGTACCTAAAATAATATATGATACAATGCTAATACAAATATAATACGATATTGTATTAGTTTAAGTTTAGAATCGGTTTTAAGTTGTATCATAATTGCATTAGAATTGTGTAAGAGTACTTTCGGGATTGTATCAAATTTGTATCTGAATAATGAGTAGTTGTGAGTTCATGACAAATTGCACAGTTTATATCACAAATATGTGATAATTATATAATAATTTATTAGTATTGTATCAGATATTATTTTGGATATTAATGTACCATCTGCAAGTTAGATACAATTGTGATACAAGTATGATACAATTATGTTTTACGCATTAATATATCTGATACAATTTAAATACAATTATGATATAGTTATCATACAATCCCTAAATATTTTTTCATTTTCAGTGTTGTTCGGTCTCCCAACAAAAGAATGATGCAATTAAAGATTTAATAATATAAAGTTGTCGCCAATAGTGGAAAGAGAGAAGATGGAGATTCTGGGTGTAGATTAAGGGATTTTGATGTTAAAAAAAGGAGAGAGAAGAGGAAAGAGAAAAAAGGAAAGGATATAATTGAATCCCTTAATTGAAGACATTAATAATGAGATGAGAGTCTTTTAAGGAGAAATATACACAATTTGTAAGAAAAACCTAGATACTTATTAAAAACTACAAAACGTAAAGAATAACAGTAAATAAGTTTCTAATATAGTATAGCTAGGTAAAAATCCCAATAAAATACTTTGAGCATATATAGTATTATTACATATTAAAATAAGTCTGTTAACTCAATAATAATTATATTAATGGTAATATTAATAATAATGCTAACAGTACTAATAATAAAATAATAATTTCGTAATAGTATTAAAAGTAGTAGTAGTAGTAGTAATAGTATTAATAATAATAATAATAATACCACTATTACTAACAAATGTAACAATAATAGTAGTAAAAGTAAAGTATATAAATAACTTAAAAGTAGTAAAAATAAAGTATATAAATAATTTAAAAGCTCAAGAAAATTGATTGGAAGAAAGGAGGGACAAAATTAATGTCAACAGAGACCACATAGGAAGTTTTCTTCACTCTCTACCCTTCCATGTTCTTATTTTTGTTAAGCATTGGGGACAATACTTATTTTCATTTGGGGAGTGGTCCCCAATGCTTATTTTCATTTGGGGGTAGTCTATTCTGATTGATTGACATTGACATTTGGCATATAATAACTATTACACTATTTTTCCTTTATCTTTATTTTCTCTTTGGTATGTATATATATTCTCCCACATTTGATGTATATATTCATTTTCCTTATGTATATATTCATTTTACTTCGGTTTATATATTCGTAGCTTCTTTACTTTGTCTTTCTCAGTAGTCTAACTTCTTATTTGCTTTAGTAGCTTCTTTTTTATTTGTTAGCTTCTTTTTCGTTTAAGTGAACAATATGCCTTTGGTTTTCTTAATGTCACGGTTCTTTCAAAAGGTGGATTTTGTGTGAACCAGGTGGCTCTTCCCAACGATGGATGACGTGAGAATCTTCTTAAGGAATTGAGTCCGTTTTCTTTTATGTTTAGGCAAATATAGTGATGAATAAAAGGGTCTCAAGCATACTTTACTTGGTACCAACACATTTACCTATGATCGTATGGTTAAAAATAAGTTGTTGGCAGAAAATAGCTCTTATTGTGATCTTTTGACTCTTGTGTTGACTTAAGCAGTCATCGAGTGGTTCAGTCAAGCCATTTGTGATTCTCAATCTTAACTAGGGTTGTTGTGGGACCTCGACTCCGTTCTCTTTAGCAATCCATGAGAGGTGAGGTATTGAATTGCAAGTCCAAGTTCCCGTGTTAATAGTCTAGAACTTGCCCTGAATGTTTTCTAGGTGAAATTCTAAGTATAGCTTGGCTTGAGAAATGAATGTAGGCTCTCCTTAATCTCATTTGAAGTTTGAAATCTTCCATAGCCTACTAATGTGATATCCCTAGTCAACCCATTTAAGCCTAAGCCCTTTTTCTTTTAATAACCACGCTACAAGCCTTTATCCATTTTGTAATGACCCTCTCTTGGCACCCAATCTTTCCTTAGCATTCTTGAAAAACAATTGGCAAAATCATAAGTTTGGGGGAGAGACGAGGAGTTTGAAAGTGATAAAAGGAACAAAGAAGAGAGAGAAATGAAGAAAGGGGATGTGATGACCCGGTCAGTCGTATCATGAGTTACTATTCTGTTTTCCCTATTTTTGCTTCTTTATGCTTTGTTTATCCGTTTTATGTGGTCTCGGTTTGGTCGGATCGAATCCGGAATGAATTTGGTAAGGTTTGAGACACTTAGTCTCTTTTGAGGAAGCTTAAGTTGGAAAAGTCAACCAGATGTTGACTTATGTGTTAGAGGGCTCGGATGCAAGTTCCGATGGTTTGGTTAGCTTCGGAAGGTGATTTGTGATTTAGGAGCGTGATCGGAATGAGTTTTGGAGGTTTGGAGTAGATTTAGGCTTGAATTGACGAAGTTGATATTTTGGCGATTTCCGGTTGGTAGGCGAGATTTTGATATAGGAGTCAGAATGGAATTTCGAGAGTTGCAGTAGTTCTGTTGTGTCATTTGGGATGTGTTTGGAAAATTTCAGGTCATTCGGACGTGGTTGGTTAGGTTTTTGATCAAAAGCGTAATTCGGAAGATTTTAGAAAGTTTGGCTTGAATCCGATGTGTTTTGAGTGATTTGATGTTGTTTGAGGTGTTTTGGTGATTGAAACAAGTTTGAATAAGGTTTTAGGACATGTTTATGCCTTTGGTTGAGGTTTCGGGGGTCTCGGGTGAGTGTCGGGTGGTCAATCCGATCATTTTGAAGTTGGAAAAATTGCAGAAGTTGCAGGTTCAACTGTTGCAGGCTTTTACTCTTCGCGTTCGCAAGTGGACCCTCACGTTCGCGAAGAGTCAGTGGAGGTCAGTGGAAGTTTAGCCTTCACATTTGCGAGGGAGGCTCTGCGTTCGCGAAGGGGATGGATGCTCGCGCATCGCGTTCGCGAGATGTAAGTCGCATTCGCGTAGGGTCTTTTTGGTCAGCCAGTCTGAGGTCGTGTTTGTTCTTCACGTTCGTGAGAGAGGGTATGCGTTCGCGAAGGGTAAGGTTGAG